CCCCCCCCCAAGGGGCTGGCTGACCAGATAGCTCAGGAGGGCAGAGCGCAGCAGCCTGGGTTTGATCCCTGGCATGCCATACTGGCCCCACCCCTGGGGCTTGTTGAAATGTAATTGAGACTGGGCATGGTGGTGTTCACCTGTAATCCCAACACTTGGGAGGCTGAAAATGGGAGAATCACTACAAATCTGGTCTATGTAGTGAGACCCTGAACACCCTGTACCAAGCATCTCCTAACTAGGTTATTAAAATGAGACGGGGGGGGGGGGGAGATGGCTCAGCAGAGTAAGCACTTGCCTGGCAAGCGCAAGGCCTGAGTTCAATCCCTGGTTCCGCCAATAAAATAAAAGTTAAAAAATAAAAATAAAAAAAAAAAAGACTGCCTGGCCGGGGAGATGGCTCAGTGGATTAAGTGCTTCCCTGGTAAGCGCAAGGGCCTGAGTTCAATCCCCATTCCGCAAATAAATAAATAAATAAATAAATAAATAAAATGAGACTGCCATTTGGCTACAAACCCTCCCTGGTAAGGGAATCACTGATCTGTAATCAGGGCTGGGGAGATAGCTCAGTAGAATAAGTGCAAGCACAAGGATCTGAGTGCAATCCTTGGTTCCACCAAAAAAAAAAAATCATCCCTAAATCAATCACCAGGACAGACTTTTTTTAAGTCCTCCATCTTGGTCAGCTAGCTTTTTTTTTTTTTTTTTTAAATATTTATTTATTTATGTGTGTGTGTGTGTGTGTGTGTGTGTGTGGCCAGCTCAGCCCACCAGGGGGCTGGGCTGTCTGGCATGTGGTGCTGGGGGATTGAACCGCGGTCCCTGTGCTTTGCTAAGCTTGTTCTAAGTAGGTGCTTTAGACCACTGAGCCATCTCACCAGCCCTCAGCTAGCTTTTTGAATGAAGTCATCTTCTTTGCCCCAACACTCTGTCCCTTGATTTAAGTGGGCTTTCATGCAGTGATCAGCTGTACTTGGGTCTGGCAGCAGTAGCATTAGCAAAGAGAAATGGATACCTTAATCTTTGCCTGCCTTGGGAATCAAAATTGCTTCTAGTCATCAACCACTTCATGACTACCTAGGCTGTGGCAATTCTGGCACCTTCTTCCCACCATACCCTTTTTTTCTCCAATTTTTTTTGGGTAGTACTAAGGATTAAACTCTGAACCTTTGTACTCCTCTAAATTTTCAGACACTATTCCCCCGCCCCTTTTTTCTTTCTTTTTTAACCCTGAATTGCTAAATTGCCAACACTGGGTTCAAACTTGTATAAGCCTCCTGCCTCAGCCTCTCAAACTGCTAGAATTTTTTTTTTTTTAAACTGCTAGAATTTCATTGCGTACCACCACATCCAGCTTTCTAACCCCTCCGACTCATGGCAGAAGAAACTGTCATAGTGTGCAGAACAGGCAGAATGGGTGGCAGTTTGTTCTAAGACTGCTCTCACTTTGAGTTTTAGACTTTTAATGGCCTGAGAAGGGGATGGACTGACACTTCCTGCCTCAATCTGAGGTGATTAGGGAATCATTTGTATTCCTTCTTCAGTTACCGAGTGTCCCAAAAGAATCAGTCAGAATCCAATATAGTAATCAACAGGTTTTATTTTCCTAGAACTGAATTCATCTATAGTTCTCGAGCTAAACTTCCAAAGCTACAGTCAGCAATTTTTCATCAGAGCCCAAGGGAGAGGGGCAGGGATAAGAGACAAGAGATGGAGCAGTGAGAAACCACTAGGAAGAGGCTGGGAGAGGGCACTCACTCTCTGTCTTCTCAGTGAGTTACAAACCAGATCTGGTGAAAACACCAAGGGATCAGGTAGGGGTATGTGGATAGGAAATGACACCAGAAGAAACACCAAAGCCCCAGCTACAAAAAGTCATCAAGCCCCACACAGAACGGGAGCTTCCCAGTGCACCTCAGAAATGGGGGCAACATAGGGAAGGAGCAGAATAGGGAGCACACAAAGGGTTAGGGGGCTTTAAAATTTTTTTTGTTTTTGTAATTTTCTTTTATTAAAAACATTTCCTAAAAAATGTATCTTTTCCTTTGTCTGGGTGGTATACGTAACTAGGCTGGCCTTGAGTACTGTGGAAAAAGGGGACACGGGCCGGCAGGAGTTCCCCCAGGGTAGCCCATCTCTGGCCCCAGAAATCTAAAGGGGGAAGATGCTCAACACTTCTACCTACCCACATGGGTAAAGCCAACCCTTCAGACCTCAAGTTCTTGGCCCAAACAACTTGAAAGCCCCAAATTCTTTTGATGATAAAACTACAACTCCTAGAATCCTTGGAGCATCAGGAAAAAAATAGGTATTGTCAATCATCAAGGATTTATGAAAGGGAGCCCTCCCCCATTGGCTGTCCCACTTTCCCTGAATCTAGGCAGCTGGGAAAAAAGAGGTGTGGGACTAGGGGACAGGAGCTCAGGACACTGCCCTCCTGCTCCCCCAACACCCCAGCCTGAAGCCCACCCTGTTTATGCTCTACCCCTTCTGCTCCTACCCAACACCACCAGAACCCCTATAGGAGGGGAGGAAGGAGTCAGGTGGGAACAGCCAGCCCAGGCCCACAGAAGCCCAAGAAGACAGCTTCAAGCAGCATGGGACACAATAACCGTGTCTCATCCCCAGGAGCTGAGTATGTGGCCCTGACTCAGGTCTCAGGTGTCAGGGACCTGGAAGTGAGCGCCAGGTCAATCTCCAGGGGCTGGGCTTATGGTGGGGGAAATGAGTGGAGGAGAGCAGGTTGTGTGGAAAAAAAGGGTTCCCAGTTTGCAGGCCATGGCCAGTTTCCCCAGTAGCACCCAGACAGCAGCAGGAACGGGGCGGGGCTCCTCTTGAAACATTGGTGGCTACAGGCTGTGGGATGGTAGAGGGGAGAAGGGTTACTTGCACAGCCTGGGCTGGTCTACTGGAAGCCCACCCACCTCCTGAGAGGGTGACCACAGCAGGCCTTCTCTCCCAAGGTGGCTGCTGCCAAGAAGGCACACTCACCTCTCATGATCTCTGATGCCTGGGGCCTCAGCATCCTCCTTCGCAGCCTCTTCCTCTTCCTCCTCCTCCTCTTCCTCAGGAGGGCCCCGGCCAGAGCTGGGCTCAGAGGGGGTGCTGTTTTTTTCCCCCTCTGTTGGGGGAGGCCTCTCACCCTCCAAGGTGGCTACCTCCTTTTCCTCCCCTTCTGGGTCTTCTGCCTCCTTAGGACGTTTAGGGGAGGAGTCCTAGGCAGGAGTGAGAGATGAAATGGGCTGAGGCCTACTTGTATCCCCACCCCAGGCTCCTTCTCTTTCCTGAGCTTATAGCCAGTCAGTTCTTCTGCAGCCCCCTCTTTATTTCTTTTTCTTTTTTTGAGACAGGGTCTCACTATGTATGTCAAGCTGACCATGAACTCACAGTGATCCTCCTGCCTCAGCCTCCCAAGTGCTGAGATTACAGGTATGCATACCACACCCAGTCTGCAGCCCCCTCTTAACTACAATGCTTTCTTGTATGCCACATCTCTTTGGCTCTCCAAGTCTAGGGTCTGTCAGCATGAGGGCTCCCCAAGGCAGAGCCCTGCTGCTGCAAGGGACCCTGTCAATGGTTAGGGGAGTCCTTACCTCCAGCAGGTCTCCTGCTCTCCTCTTCAGTGCCCCCTTCTCGTTCTTCTCCTTGGCTGGCTCGTCAATGACCAGCTTCCCCTCCTCATCGCTGCTACCCTCTGCATTCCCTTTCTTGTCACTGTCACCCTCTGTGGCTTCAGGCTCAGGCTCTGGCTCCTCTGAGCAGCTTTTTTTCTGAGAGGACTGTGGCAGAGATGGCAGAGGCTGAGTGGCACCAGCAGGAGCCACGCTGGGCCCCCTCCCCCAGTCCCCCCTCACTCACTCCTTCTTTTTCCCCACCTCACCCCCACCCCCACCCTGGTGCCCAGTCTCACAAGTGATTTGAGACCCACCTCTGTCGGATTAGCCCCCAGGTAAACCCACTGGCCGGGCAGGCAGGGCTCTGTGCAGGAGGGGGGAGGGCTGGAGCAGGAGGCAAAACCTCGGGTCAACTTCTCCCAGAGGGAGCTGGGACCCTTTCCCCGCCAACCCCGCCCCCCGCCCTCCCGCCTCATCCTGCCCGGCTCATGAGCACCTCCTCCTGGAAGCCTTTGTGGGAGGAGGAAGGCCATGTCCTGCACTCACTTTGAGCCCAAAAGGCCTGTCTCTACTTACCACCGCCATCTAATATTGGCCCTAACCACAACTATGCAACACGGGAAACCCCATCCCTTCTTGCAGGAAGCCCCTCCCCACACCCCAAAAACCCTGAGGTCCAAAGGCTAAGTAAGCATCACCTGGAGGCCAGGGCTCCCGGAGCCCATGGCCACACCTATTGTCCAGGGGGCTTCTGGGGCAGACGGCAGCTCACCTGGTAGCCAGAAGCCTTGACAGTTGGGTTGTTCTCGATCTCCCACAGCCCCTCGCTGAACCCTTTCCTCTTGTTAGGCTTGCCAAACTTCTCCTTGGACTCCTCATAAGGGAAGAGGTCTTTGGGGCCCAGGAATGCCCTGGTGAGAGATGGGAGACTATGCTCTCAAGCCCCTTGCTGCCCCTGGGCTGTGTGGCCCAAAACATCACTCCCCAGTCCTCCCAGCCGGCACTTCGTTGCCCCTCACTCACGTCTCATGGGTCCCGAAGAAAAAGACTTGATACTTGTTGGCTGTGGATTTCACAGCAGCCTCGGGCATCTCATCAATCTGGGGTGAGATGAGGGAAGTGGGCATGAGCCAGAGCTCTGAAAGCTTCAGTCAAGAGGAGAGAGCACAGACCTCAAAAGCAGACAGCGGGTCCCCAGAGACCACCAGACCGGTTTGTGAACCATTTTTAGTGGTGACTTTGTTCAAATTAAGTCAGATTTGAAACCTGGAGGCCTTTCCTTGCTTTCGCAGCAAGACGAGCACCTTTCCCAGGATGTCCAGGCACCAGCCACATTTTAAAATTTATTTTTATTTATTTATTTATTTATTTTTGAGACAAGGGCTGGACATATAGCCCAGGCTGGCCTCCAACTTGCAACCTTCCTGACTCAGCACTGCCCAGAATCCAACCACTGCTCCTGCTCTCCTCTTCTGTTCTCTCCTGCCCCACCACAATTTCCAAATGCTGAGCATACATTTTGTTCCCCCAGGAGCACCTGTCCTGTCTTTCTCACAACAGCAGGGTCTGAATCTCTTCTGCCACCTTTGTTTATGCTTTATTTTGGGGGGGGTGGGAGTGGGGGCAGAATTGGGGATTGAACTCAGGCTCTTGTGCTTGCTAGAAAAGCACTTATTCTACTGAGCCATCCCCTTAGCCCCAACCTTTGGTTGTTAATGAGACAGCTTACTACTTTGCTTTTGTCACCTGTAAAATATAGGTGGTCTCTACGCTTAGACCACAACAGCACAACGCACATCCTGCAAGTATTTGCCCTCACCAAGCTGCCCTGTGATGCTGCTCTCCATTCTAGCCTCCCTGTCCTTTCCATTTCTCAGTCGCTATCACTCCTGATCAGCCTCACACCCTCCACTCTACCCTCCTCCAGAAAGTCTCCCTGCCTCTGGCCTGGCCAATCCCCTAGGGAAACTTCTCCCTAGGCACTTTTCCTTCAACTCCATTTGACTGGAGTCTTAATACTTGGGGGATGTCTGTGTGGACTACCTGGCTCTTACCCATCCCGAAAGTTTGTCCCTAGCACACAATAGGTACACAATAAGTACTGACAGAATAAACTTGTAAAACAGAACAGACTAATTAGGCGAAAGTACAGAGGTGGGGCTAACAGACCACCTATTTAACACCAGCTCTAACAGCAGCCCCCAAAGTTTCTGAGGAACCCTTTGAAAAACATCAAAGTGGTGGCTGGCAAGATACCTCAACAGTCTAAAGTGCCTCTTTAGGCAGGCTTAGGCAAGCTTAAGCAGGTGCAGGGGAGCATGGTTTGATCCCAACACCACATGCCACCCAGCAACATCCTCAGGGTGGGCTGAGCTGGCCAAAAAAATTTTTTTAAAGAAAAACACCAAAGTAGTCAAATCCTCTTGTTTTTCAGATGAGGAAACTTAGACCAGAAAAGTGATCTGCCCAAAGCAAAAGAATAATCTCCTGGAGGCCGGGGAGATGGCTCAGTAGGATAAGCACTTGACTGGCAAACGCAAGGAACTGAGTTCAATCCCCGGTTCCGCACAAAATAAATAAATAAATAAAAAGAATAATCTCCTGCCCTGACCCATTGCCTGGAATCCTGGCCCAAGATCAGGGCTGTCGTGGAAATAGTGGGAGATGCAGAGGTCAGAGAAAGGGAGAAAGAGTGACCCAGCCAGCCCCTCCCAGATCAGGGCCTGGAAGCAGAGGCCTGGCTGCCCTGGGGGTGAAACTACAACTCCCAGCAACACTTGCAGCAGGCCCAGGAGCTTGGCTTCCAGCCCACAGAGGCCAGGTGGCCATGTTGACTGGAGCCCAAGACACAAGACAGTACAGACAGACAGGCCAGGGCAGTGATTACAAGGAAAAACACAAGGACAGAAGATGTAACTGGAGGCTTCGCGAGGCAGAGAGGCTGTGTGGATGGGAATGAGCCCAGACACACCCAGGAGCGGGGTGAGGCCCAGGCATGAATTCCAGGGGCATCTCTTTCCAGACTTGGGAGACTCCAGGCTTTTGGGCACCGCCCTCTTGCCCCCGTGGCCTCTAGGGACAGAGGTCCAGCCCCTCCCCCCAGGAAGACCTAGCACAAACTGGGCCCTCCCCACTACAAGGAACCTGCAGGGGTGTGAGAGCGGGAGGTGGAAAGGCACGCAGCTCCCCCCCCACAAACAAGATTCTCGTTGCCATGACAACCCAACCCCACCTCCAGGGCCACTCAGCAACTAGGAATGTGACCACCCCTCCCCCCAGGCCCTCTATCTAGATTGGGAAGGAAGGGACACTAACACTCCAACCCCCAAGCCTGGAGTCTAGCACCTGGGTCCCCAGAAGTGCTAGAAACTGCTAGGGCTGGAGGACTGCTTGGGGGGATGTGCTCTCAGAAAGCCAGTCCTTGGGGGAGGGGAAGGCAGAAGCTGGACAGGACACCTGGTGCCGGTCACCAGCCAGCTCCCAGCCCTCCTCTCAGAGGGGTAAGCAAAACAAAATGAGGGCCTCCAGGGCTTAGAGATCCCAGGAGACAGGGATAGGACAATAATAGCCTAGGCCCTTTCCTAGGCCTCCTGGATCTGCTCTTAGCAGAACCTAGCAGGGGTGAGGGCAAAAGGGCCTGTGGCTGTGAGTACAGTGAGGAACTTTGATCTTGGCACTCTCCATGCCCACACCTGAGCCAGTGCATTAACATGTTCAGAGTAAATGGGAGATGAAGGAGAAACTGAGGCTCAGGAAGGGAATGGGATTGGGGGAAGGGTCAGAATGAGACAGTTTTTCTCTAGGGAGACTGACTGCAAAGCACCTGGCTGCCCAGCTTCCCACAGAATGTGAATTTGAGAGACAGGCAACGGAGTGTGAATGTTGGGGCAGGGGATCTAGGAGGCCACCAGCTGCCCAGGGGCAGGGAGAAATAAAACAATGATGGAATTAAAAATAGAATGAGACACACCAGATACACCCGCCTTGTGCTGACTTCAGGCTACAGAAAAGATGGGCCCAGAGATAAGGGGCAGAAGAATGGACAAAGCCAGATAGAGATCATCCAGTAAAGGGTCCTTCCACCTTGCCACTCAGAACTGGGGGAAGGGTGAAAGAATGCTCCACCCTGTAGTACCCTGGCTTAAACCCAGGGCATCCCCATTGAACTAAATCCCCAGCCCTTATTATTATTAGTTCTTTCTTAATCTTTTTTTTTTTAGGGTCTTGCTGTATAGTTCGTGCTGACTTTGAACTCACTATGTAGCCCAGGCTGGTTCTGAACTCAAGGAGATTCTCCTGCCTTAGTCTTGGAGTGCTGGAATTACAGACATTTGTCACCACACCCAGCTTTTTAAATTTATTTTGATTTTTTTTTTTAATTTTTGCGGAACTGGGGATTGAACTCAGGCCACTGAGCCATCTCCCCAGCCCTTAAATTTATTTTGAGACAGGGTCTCACCAAGTTGCCCAGGCTGGGCTCCAACTTGCAATCAGAAGCATGTGCAACCTAGCCTGGCCCTCTTTTCTTTTAACGGAATTCCAACCGCTCAGAAAGAGGAAGAGGGCTGCGGGTAGAGCTCACAAGGTTCCTAAGGCCCTTGGGCTAACCCCAACACTAGAAAGAGGCGTGGGGAAAAGTGAGCTCCTCTATAGGAGCACCTCCACTCCTGAAGCTAAAGGAAAGGCCTTTTCGTATACTTTGGAAGTGAAGGATGGTTCTTCCTAGGCAGGGAGAAATGTAAGGTCTCGGGGGCCCTGTACCCTAATACAAATCTAACTCCCAGTTGGTGCCTTCATATCCAGGCTGTGACTCAGAACCTGTGAGTCAATGTTAAGTGGTTTATGGTGGGGCCCAGTTGAGGACCCTGCTGTAGTCCCTCTACCAGTTAACAGGAGAGAGGACTCTGTAACCTCTTAGCCCTTGCAGGGATCCAGGCGTGTTCCTTCTCCTTAGGCCTGGCCTCTTGGCCTGTATGCCTTTTTTTTTTTTTTTTTTTTTTTTTTGTGAAACCAGGGATTGAACTCAGGCCCTTGCACAAGGGCTTACTCTACAGAGCCATCTCCCCGGGCCCCCTCCTTTGCCTTTGAATGACAGCCCATCCTGCAGGTCCTTGAGGCCCTCGCAGAGGGACCTGAAGTGTGTGAGGGGTGAGGGGTACTGAACACTGCTTCCCTGGTCTCAGACCCCAAGCAGACCAGGGTCACCACCCCAGCACTTGGGAAGGCAGAGGGAATGCCAAGCCCAGGCCGTCTGCCATTGGGTTCTGACCACCACACCCAAGGCTGGGCCGACCTGACCCAGGAACTGGAAAATCCAGGGCAGCAGGCCGATAGGCAGTTGGGGGCCGGGAAATGTGGCAACCTAAGGAGCAGAGAAGAGAAAGGGTGAGAACAGAGTAAAGAGAGTGAGGAAAGGGCCTTGGGCTGCTCAGTTTTTCTGGGATTGTGAAACAGGAAAGAGAGGAGGAAGGAACCTGAGGTGGGGGGAATCCCTGAGTCTTGGAGTTTAACTATTAAGTGCTTGGAGATCCCCCAGAAAGTTGGGCAGGAGGAAGAAAAGGTTAAGATGGAGTCACAGGCTGGGCATGGTGGCACATGCCTATGATCCCAGCACTCCAGAGGCTGAAGCAGGAGGATCACTGGGAGTTCAAGACTAGCCTGGGATACAAAGTGAGCCAGCCTGAGCTGCATTTAAAAAAAAAAAAAAGGACTCACACATCCTCCCAGCCAGGTCCTCTTACCACGTGGCCCTTCAGGCTGTGCTCTCAAGCACTGGGTCCTTCCATAATCACCTATGCTCCCCAGCAGCAGGGACCAAGGGAGGAAAGGTCCACAAGGGTGGCTGAGGAGTCGGCCTGCCCAAGGGGGTACCCCTACTTCTCATCCATATCACGAGGAGCTGGGCCTCTCAAGGCTCTGGCACACACGACTGAGGCCAGCCCAGCGAATGGTGAGGAGACACGGCTTTGTTCTCTGGGAGGTCCCAGGACAGCCTTGAGTGCACCCCTCCTGCCAACTATCTCAGTCAACAGTCAGGAAAAGTGTAGGGCTTTATCTTGTTGAAATCCAAACCTGACCTCCCCATCCCAACTCTTAACTTTATCTAAAAGCTACAGGCCTCAACTGAAGAGACTGCTTCCCCTCTGGTCCTGGAGGCTCAAGGTGAAGACAAACCGATGGCATCCTCAGTGCCAGGCCCTGCCCTCACTTAAGTCATCACAAACCTCAGGGTCTTCCTGACAGGGAAGCACTCTTAGCACTTCTGTGTGTCTTCTACCCTTTTTCCTTTCTTCCTGACCCAGGAGGGGTTCTCTGCAACCCACGTTCCTGCCAACACCTCCTCTCCCCATGGCTCAGTCCAGCCTCTGGACTTTGTTTCACCGCAGGAGGGAAAAGCAGTAGAGATCTGGGTTCAGCTCTTGCCCTGCCCACCAGGGCCTTAGCACTGGGGCCAAGACGCCAGTTGAACCAAAGGGTACAGGCTAAAGTACAGGAGTGCTCACAGGCCACACGTCCATGCACACAAGCAATTCTGCCTCCTCAGGCCCTCAGGAGGCCCTGGATATGGGGAGCCCTGCTCCCTACACTTCTTACTTAATCCATATGAAAGTTCCAGGGACAGAGAAACTCAAAGCATGTGAGATAAGGAACACACACCCCTCCCCTGAGAGGGAAAGAGTTGAGAAGAGTCTTGGATTTTTCTTACAGTGAACCAAACAGGCCTGATGTCCTGCACAGGACCCAGATGGACCAGGGCAGCTTCCTAGGCTTTCCTGGGCTCAAGGTAGTGTTAGACCAGATGAACAGCAGCAGCAGCCTTACCCTGCAACCCAAAACCACGAGGCAGCCCTCTGTGCTGGCCCCTCCCTCCACCCCTTTCTACCCTTAGCTTTCCATCTACAGTCCTTACACTCCAGGGGGCTGAGTCATGCCTCTCCCAACACCAAAGGCCCCTCTACACCAACTTTCGAGCAAGTTACCAGAGGCACTAACCCCTGAGACCTCCAGTCTACTGCAACCACACCACCACCCTTTACCCAACCTATCTAGTCTTTGGGGAAAGCTGATAAACACCCGGCTCAGCGGCCCGGGCCCCACCCTCCCACCTGGCCAGGTGCTAAAGGCCCTTCTGTTGGCGGGATCAGCTCACCATGTGGTGAGCCGAGAAGGTTCTGGAGGGATGCTGGGGGGGGGGGTCTCGGGCTCCCCCACCCCCACTAAAGCTGTCTAAAAGGGGTTCCATCCCCACGTGAAGCTCTGCGGTCCTCGGTCCCACCTTTGAGCTGGCAGCATAGGGAGGACATTTTTGTGAAACTGAGAGAGATGGGTGCTGGCATATAGTTTCCAGAGTTTCCAGACAGATCCCTTCTTCCACTACCCCCACCTCCTCGACCCTCCCAACTTCAGACTTCGCACAGACGCCCCAAACCAAAGTTTTCTAGAAGCGCCCCGCCTCCACCCAGCCCTATTTGGGCTGGGATCCTTCGTAACCATTTGCACAGGAAAAGGAGTCTAAACTGTGGGGTGACGGTCACTGGAGAAACTGGGGATCTCAAAGGGGGACCGGTGGCGCGGTAGGAGGAGTTACTCAGCCGGCCCAAACCCGCACCGCGCGCCCAGAGCCGCGGCAGAGTGGGGGTTGGGGGCGGAACCGAGCGCGGAGCCGGCCGGGGGGTTCCGCGTCCCGGAGTCCGCGCCGCGCACGCGCCCGCCAGGTGCGCCCCCCGCCGCCGCCACCGTTATGTAACCGGCGGGTGGGCTTAGGGCGGCGGGGAGCCGGGACCCAGGTGCCCTCCGCCCGCCCGCCAGTCCGCCCTGGCCCCCAGGCGTTACGCAACCCTAGCCTTTGGGGGCCGGGGTGCGGGCCGCGCTGCTCACCCGGGCTGGCCAGTGCGGGTAGCCCTTCATCTTGGCGAACACCAGGTCCCCGCATTTGTATTCCTTCTGCCGGTTGGATCGCGACATGGCGGGGCTCCGGGGGCCCCGAGCTCCGCGCCGGGCCGGGAAGCTTGAGCCTAAGTTTGAGCGCGCGGCGGTAGCGGTGGCGGCGCCGCTCCGCTCCGGCCCGCGCGCTGCCCCCGCCTCGATGGCGGCCCCCGGCTCGAGCTCTGGCGCGGCCACGGCTCTCCTCCACCCGCGCGCCGCTCGGACGGGGCGGGCCCGGGTCCGACGACGCTTGGCGCGGTGGGTACGCGCTCGTGCAGTTGTTTGTGTTTGAAATTCAATTGCTCCCTCCTCGGCGCGAGGCCTCTTCCTCCACCCCCGCGGGTCCCACTCCTCCCTCCCTCCCTCCTCCCCGGTCCCCCCCCCCCCCCCCCCCGTTCCCCGCCCGCGGCGGTTTGATGAGCGCAGCGGCTCGACGCCCAACGCCTGCTACAGCCCGGCACCCAACCCTGAGCCGCTCGGCAGCTCCTGGTAACTCAGTCCGGAGCAGCAGAGCGCCGAGCGCACCGAACGGGCTTTGTGTGCCCGCTGCCGGTGGGTGCCCGCCCGCTCGCCCGCGCGTCCGGGAGGAGCTGGCGCCGGGCTGGACGGAGCGCTCCCCCTTCGTCCCATGCCACGGCTCCGCTCGGCACTCACCACCGCGGCCCGGCGGAGCCAAGTGTGCACGTCTAGGTGCGGGGTCTCCCTGCGCTCTGCTTCATCCCAGTCCACGAGTGTTTACTAGGCACTCCGGGTCCTTGGCAGTGTGCTAGGCGCCCGGGACGACAGGAGTGAGTATCGTGCCGCCGCGCGCAGGCGTCCACCTTAAACCCAGCTGTGCTTGCAGTGTGTGGCAGGGTGGCCCTGGAGACGTCGGGGATTCGACCTCTATCTAGGTTGGCCTTCGCAGGCTGGGGGTGCTCGAGGGATTGTAGCACCAAGTGTCCACTTTGTATGTCCTTAGATGTCAGTTCACTGCTGCCTAGCCGAAGAGCTTGGGCTCCACGAGCAGCTCGCCTCGCAAAGATAAAGCTCCATTCTAATGGCAAAAGACTAGCGCGCAGAGCTATGGGGGTGGAGGTGGAGAGCTGTGAGTCCTTTGCAAAGTTAGTGACTTTGAGATGGACCATAAAGAATAACTAGGATCTTGCCAAATTCGGAAGACTACATTTTGGTGTTAGGTTATAAGGTTATATGCCAAGAAGGGAGAGATCCAGAACTTAAGTTCAGATTTCTTCCCACTAGGCCAAATACAACTATTATAGTTACGTGGTTGATTTGCTGTCCAAATTCTAGACATCTGGAGTCTCTTAGAAATTAAAAAAGAAGGGGCCGGGGAGGTGGCTCAGGGGTTCCCTGGCAAGTGCATGGGCCTGAGTTCAATCCCTGGTTCCGCGAAAAAAAAAAAAAAAAAATTAAAAAAGAAGCCTGGCGTGGTGGCATGCGCCTGTGATCACAGCGCTCTGGAGGCTGAGAGGAGTATAGTTGCGAGTTCGAGACTAGCCTGGGCTACAAAGTGAGCTGAAGGCCAGCCTGAACTGCACAGTGAAATCCTGTCTCAGTCAGGCATGGGGGACCCCGGTTGGATCCCCAGTTCTACATGCCACAGCCTGAGCCAGCAAAAGAAAGAAAGAGGAGAGAGAGAGAGAGAGAGAGAGAGAGAGAGAGAGAAGAGAGAGAGAGAGAGAAAGGGGCTGGGAATAAGCGCTTGCCTGGTACAAGGGCCTGAGTTCAATCCCCGTTCCTAAAAAAAAAAAAAAAGAAGAGAAAACATTTGGGGAAAAAAATAAAAAAATTTTAAAAAAAAGAAAACATTTGGGGCTGAGGATATAGGACAGAAGTAGAGTACCTGCCTCACCCATGTGTAAAACCCAGATTCTGAGCCCAGCAATAAAAAAGTAAATTTGGAGTCTTTTGTTGCTGTTATTGTTTGTTTGTTTATTTGTTGGGGGGGTTGAGACAGAGTTTCACTCAGCAAAAGTGATCACCCCAAGCTGATCTTGAACCCACACTGATCCTTCTACCTCAGTCTCCCCAGTGCTGGTAATACTGGTAGGCACCACCTTGCCTGGCTCTGTTGTGGTGGAGTTGTTTGCTTTGTTTCTGGTACTGAGGATTGAATCCCACCCATGGCACGTTATGGCAGAGGCTGTACCACTGACTACTGAACTACATCCTCGGGCCTTTTTACTTTTATTTGGAGATGAGGTGTTACTGAATTGCCGCTAGCTGGATGTGGTACTTGTCCTAATCCCACCAATAGGGAGGCAGAGGCGAGATCACCTTAAGTTTAAGGGCACCCTGGGCTACATGATCAAAGCCTGCCTGAACTACATAGTGAGACCTTGACTCAAAAAAAAGTTTCAGGTTTGCCACAAACTTGGAGTAACCGTTCTGCCTCAGCTTCCTCAGTACAGGGATTACAGGTGTGCAACACCACGCCTGGCTAATTTTTTTTTTTTTTCCTCTGCCGGAGAATTGAACCCAGGCCCTTATATGTGCTAGGTAAGTACTCTGCCGTGGAGTTACAGCGCCAGCCCTTTGTTTTTTTCTTGATACGGTATTTGTGTCAGGCTGGTACCTAATGTCTGAGCTTCTGCCTCAGCTAGCCAAGTAGCTGACTTTATAAACAGTAATCACCACACACTTGGGTCTTACATTACAGAAAACCCAGGTCCTTGAAATTTTGCAACAAAATATACTAGGTTTGAATAGGTAAAATATGTATTTTAACCCCCCAAGTTTCCTGATTCTATTTCAAAGCATATACAAAGTCTCCTGTAAGGAAGTGCAGGATGTAGCTTAAAGAGCGGTGTTCACATCCTGCTGTTCACTGATCGTGAGCACTTATACAACTTCCTGAACTTTTTTTTTTTTTTTTTTTCCTAGTGATCAGGAAAAAACATAGGATCAAACTTAGGGTATCCTAAAGGCTAGACAAGCACTCTACCATTGAACTACCAATGCACAGCCCTCTCCCTGCACTTCCCTGAGACTAAGCTTCCTTGCCTGTAAGATGGGGTCCATGATTGCCCTGCCTTCATCAGAGGGGTGGAATGGCTGCTTCACTGGCAGAGAGGCCTGCAGTTGTTCCCAGAGGTCTGTGTGCCAGCTGGCCATCCTCAGGCCATGGCAGTATAATTCTTACGTCTTGCCTGTATGACGGTATGTGGCCTCAGCAAAGTTCCACCTTGTGACAGGAGTCTCTCTGGCCCTTAACACCAGCACAGTAGGACATTCTGTAAGGTCCAGTGCAATAAAAGGCCATGCAAGGCCTCCAGCCCCAGACTTGTCAATTTGTTTCCATAGCAAATCCAAACTTGTTGTAACAGAGCAACTGGATTCCAGCTGCTGTTTATTTTACAGCGCCTTCTGGTTTGAAATGCAGTCAGTGCAATAATCCAACTTGCCAGGCTAATCCTATTTTTTGTTGTTAGGGGAGAATTTCATCACAAATTCTTAAACGATATTTCAAGGGTGCATCCAGTGTCATAACATGTTTCCAGGTCAGTGTAAATATGCAGTCACCATGCCTGACTTCTTCCTGAGATATAAATAGATAAGCACAGTTTCAGAGCAACAAGCATCAAGTGTTTTTTTGTTTGTTTGTTTGTTTTTTATGGCATTAGGAATTAAACCAGAGCCCTCACACTCAGCTACCTTCTTTCTCAGCCCTCCTGTCTCAGCCTTGCAGAATGCAAGGATTATAGGCAGATAAGGGCCGGCCTGATGGCTCAGTGGACTAAAGTGCCTGCTTAGGCAGACTGCAGCGGCCTGGTTCAATCCCTGGCATGCCATGCCAGCCCAGCCCGCGGGGTGCCCTGAGAGGGTAATTGGGACTGGGCGTGGTGTCATGCACCTGTAATCCCAGCATTTGAGAGGTTAAAAACAGGAGAATCACTACGAGTCCAGTCTGTAGTGAGACCCTGTAGACCCTGTCCTAAATACAGAAAAAAATAAAAATAAAATATAGGCAGGTGGGGGCCAGGGAGATGGCTCAGTGGAATAAGCGCTTCCCTGGCAAGCACAAGGGCCTGAGTTCAATCCCCGGTTCCACAAAAAAATAAAAAATACATATATATATATATATATATATATATATATATATAGGCAGGTGTCGCCATGCCAAGCTTAAGTGTGTTTTGAATTATTTTCCAAATTGAACACACTCAAATTTAGTTAAATCAGTGGAGGTGAGAACAAGGCTTCTAAACACTTATTCCAACACATTTCCTGGGCCTCTCATCAGTCCACTATGCAGATGTTGGCTGCAGTAATACAACTGAGGTTTCCTTTGTTGCCATAATCTCCCAGGCTGCGGCTGCAATTTAATATCCAAGTTCTTCTTACAGCATCAACCAACTCACAGCTGCCCCTAACAACCACCCTAAGAATCACTTACACAGGTGGGCTTAAGCCTGTTCCCTCTGGGATTCAGGTCTCACTTTCTGGTTTGAAGATTTTACCATGCAAACAAATCACTTGAGACTTTTCTTAAAAAGCAGATTGTAATTCAGTGGGTTTGGAATGTGTGCTTTCTCCCACTTTCCCCTCCCCCAATACTGGGAATGGAACCCAGGGCCTTTGCTTTGAGCAAAGTCCCTAGTCCTTTTTCATTTTTAAATTTTTGAGACTGGGTGTCACTAGATTACTTACTTTCCCAAGCTAGGCTCTAACTTAAGATCCTCCTGCTGCAGGTTCCCAAAGTACTGCAATGACAGGTACACACCTCCACACGAGGTTGTATGTGTGTGTTTCTAAGAAATTTTAGCTGCTCCTCCCTTTTGCTCTTGTTGCTTTTGCTGTTTTCCACTGCCATGAATTGTTGCCCTCTGCCCCGTGCCACTGTGTTGGACCCAGCCAAGTATGGACTGAAACCTCCACCTTCTCCCAATGTGAGCTAAATAAACTTCCTTAAAAAAAGAAGAAGAAAGGGGCTGGTGAGATAGCTCAGTAGATTAAGTGCCTGTTTAGCAAGCACAGGGTTTCCATCCAGGCAGTACATGCTGCAATGGCCTTGCCCCTGGGCACACTGAGCCAGGCCACTGAGACAGGGTGTGGTGTCACACACTTGTAATCCCAGTGCTGTGGGGGGGAGGGCTGTCCCTTAGCTCAATTCTTTACCTTATTCTTTTTTTTTTTTTCCTGCGGAACCAGGGATTGAACTCAGGCCCTTGCGCTTGCCAGGGAATGTATTTTACCTTTTTTTTTTTTTTTTTTTTTTTTTTTTTTTTCCCGGGCACGGGGGGTGTAACCCCGCCCCTTTCGGTTTCCGGGGGATTTTTTTTTTTTTTTTTTTTTTTTTTTTTTTTTTTTTTTGCTTGCGGATTTAGCTGAGTTC